CCAGCAGCTGCCTGAGTTAAGAAAAGCCTCCAGCTTCAGTGGGCTGGAAGCAAGAGGCAGAGCTAAAGCCCAAGGTCAAGGGGCTTTCATCCAGCCCCCTAGAGCTCGCAATTTGAACTCAGACTTCTAGCCTCCAAAACTGTAAGAGAATAAATCCCTGTTTGTTGAAGTCACCCATTTGTGGTATTTTCTGTTAGAGAGGCACTAGAGAACCAAAGGAGGGGATAAGGGCTGCGAAGGAAAAAAAAAAAAAAAAAAAGAGGCATTAACAGAAAATAATAGGACTCTCACTTTGGTAGTCAGGAGGCTCCTCGGAAGAGGTGAGATTTGAGCTGAGAACAGAAGGATGAGATGGAAAGAAACAGAAGGAAAATATTCTAGACGGAAGGTAGAGCACGTGCAAAGGCTCTGAGGCAGGGCTTGGAAGAGCTTGGTTTAAAGTTAGATGAGTGTGGATCCAGAAGTCTCAGAGCAAGGCAAAGATGAAGAAATTGAGAAAGGTGGAAGCCCTAAAGCCAGTGCTCAGGGATGAAGCCTGAATCACCAGTTCAAAGCCCCTATGAATCAGCCAGCTCCAGACTGTCCTATTCCAGGGGCTGCAGGGGCTGAGGCTGCAGGGCGGTGATGGCTCAAGCAATGACAATTCATTGGAAGGCATGGACAGCACTTCCCGAATCACAGGGCTAGCATGGGCTGCACGACTCTGATGGCTGGAAGTGGGTGAGCTTAAGTGCCCCTTTCCGTCTTCCTTTAAAAATGTGGCTGGCGTCCAGGCCCTCTTTCATTCATTCATGCAACAGTGGTTGGTTGAGACCTACTTTGCCAGGCACTGTCCCAGGTACTGGGACTACAGTTGTGAGTAAGACAGACAAAGCCCCTGCCCTCATGGAGCTTATATCCCAGTGGAAGAAGCAAAAACCAAAAACAATAACAAAAAACAAATAAATCCCACCTGAACCAAACTCAGTATTTTGGTGGAGGGGTAGGGAGCCAGGGAGGTCTCCCTTCCCAAACAGGAGCCATGAGATGTGGCCCATCACTTTCTCTACTGGAGTCCCTGGGTGGTTCAAAGGGCTAGCGCTTAGCTGCTAACCAAAAGGTTAGAGGTTCCAGTCCACTGATAGGTCCTTCACAAAAAAGCCCTGGAGACCTACTTCTGAAAAATTAGCCACTGAAAGCCCCATGGAGTACAGTTCTACTCTGCGGTCCGCGGAGTCGCATGAGCCAGGGCCAACTCAAGGGCAACTGTTTTATTGTTGGTGTTGTTTTTCTCTGTTAGTTATTTTGTAGTGGACACTTCTCAGACCAGACTACCCCAGCCCCCTCTGCTTTCTTCCCAGTGGGTGAGAATTTAAAGAGAAACATACACACATATAGAGAGCTCCCCTTTTAAGGGCTGTTAAAGGCCCACACACAGACAGGAGTATCCAAACACACATACTTCTCTAATCTCCTGAAATTCCCCAAAGGCACGGTTGGGGGAGGGGGATTTTCTGCTTCTCTAATGAGTTCAGGGGAAGCCGGGGCTGGGAGCCTGGGGAGCAGGGATCAGGCTTAGCCCTCACACCTCCTTTCCTGGGGCTGGTCCCTGGGTCCACACCTGGCCTTCCAGCTGCTAGGGGGTGGGTGAGTGATCTGGGCAAACATCCTTGCAGCTTCCTGCTGCTCCCCTCCAGAGACAACAGAAAGAACTGCTCTTCCTCTCCCTTCTCCTTCCCACCCCCTCCCAGCTGGGGCTTCTCTGGGATCCAAAGCCATTTCCATCTAGAGAAACCAGAGTCATCCTTGCCCCTAAGCCAGAGGAAGGAGGCAAGAGGCACACAGGTCTAGAGACACGACCTGTTCTCCTTCTGGCCCCATATTGCCATTTTCTGAGCACCAGACCAAAGGGCTGACCGATCACAAAGCACTATAGAAGAGGGCTCTGTGGCAGCCCTTGGTGATGCAGATGGTTAACATGCTCGGCTGCTAACCAAAAGGTTGAAGGTTCAAGGCTACCCAGAGGTGCTTTGGAAGAAAGACCAGGAGATGCACTTGCAGAAGAATCAGCCATTGAAAACCTGTGGAGCTTAGTTCTACTCTGACACACATTGGGTAGCCATGGATTGCAACTCTCTTCATAGTGACTGGTGGTTTTGTTTTGTTTTTGTTTTTCCTAGGTGGGCCACATCAGGGTCTTTGGGGGAGTAAGGAAAGAAGAAACCCTCCCATCTGGCAGGAAGGGCAGTCCCTTCAGAGAGTTGTTTCTGAGAATCACTTAAACAGGATTGCAGCAGCATGAAGATGTCACAGAAGAACAAAACCACCAAGATACCAAACACACCTGAGGCCTCCTGCCCCGGGCCTGGGAATCACCCAGATGTATTCAGGGTGAATGTACATTTTGATTTTTTGTTTTTTGTGCAGAGAAACAGAGCACACCTGTTTTCCACTTGACTTTGAGGCTTTTATCTGGGTTTTTAAGAAAGATAGTGAATACCCTGTTCTCCATCTTCCAGACTGAGAAGCACATGGACTCTATCCCTGCCCACCTCCTTGACCCTGGTAACAATTTTCTATCATCAGGCAAAATGAAGAGAGATCTGGGAGTGGGGATGGTATGGGATCCCAGCTGGAAGGGACCTTAGACATTGAAATGGAAACTCTACTTCCAGAGTGCAAAATGGGCTACAGTTCCCTTCCTGGGAAAGAAAATGACCTGTTCAAGATCACACAGAAACTCCTAGCTGAGTAATTCTTACCACCAAACCAAACCCATAGTCGTGGAGTCAATTCTGACTCATAGTGACCCTAAAGGGCAGAGCAGAACTTCCCCCACAGGGTTTCCAAGGCTGGAAATCTTTACAGAAGCAGATTGCCATATCTTTGCCCTGCAGAGCAGCTGGTGGGTTTGATCTGCCAACCTTTTGGTTAGTAGCTGAGCGCTTAACCAATATGCCGCCAGGTCTCCTTCTTACCACCAACCCTCATCTAGTCTCTGGGACAAGTTAATAATTACAGACTTTTATATGCCAGGCATCATGCTAAGCTCATTATATTCATTTTCTCTGCATATCTCTACTACAAGGGGTGTGGGGAAACTTCAAATAACCCCATTTTTCAGATGCAGAAACCAAGGCCCTGAGGAAGAATAGTCACTTTTCTGGATTGGCCTGGCTAGGCCAGTCTTCATATCCTCAGCCCAAGGGTTCTTTCTGTCTCCCCTTAGACGCCTCTTCCCCTCCCTCTGTCTTGCCCGGTCTTGTAGGCTCCAGGCACAGGAGGCTCCCCGGCAGGGCTTCCCCTTGCCAGAGCCCCAGTGTGGGACACCACTGTTTGATTTCCTGCGCTGGACCAAGGCCCAGATAGCAGCTGGGGATGCAGGGCTGAAAGGAGCCCAAGGAAGAGGCTGCAGGCTGCACAGTTCATTCAGAAGAAAGTGCAATTCAGTGCTGCCCAGGGCTGGGGGAAGCACCCAGGGGGTGTATCCTGGCTTTATGGCCCTCCTTGGCTGCCAGGGTCTGAGGGCTGACAAATGCCTTCCCTCTGACCGGTACTTCCTACCAAACCCAGGAGTGTGTGGACCCCCCAGCCCCCTGCTGCTTTATTCCTTGGGTCTATGCCTGAACCATTCTTAGAAAGATTGGATCCAACCTTTCTCCCATTTTGCAGACAAAGAGGCTGAGGCCCAGGAAGCAGAGTGAGTGGCCTGTCCTGACCTCACGGGATGAAGCAGTAGAGCCAGGACCAGAACCTAGGTCTGTTGGCAGGGCCAGGTTTGACTGGGGTGAGGGGCCTTGCTCAGGGAGCTCAGGGAGCAGGGTGATCGGGGTGTGCTACTTAACCTCACACCCTGTGCCCTCCTGTCTTAGGTTCTGTCCTTTGGCCTTAGTTTCCCCCATCAGTTTGGTAGTCTGGAGCAGGTTAGATGCCCAGGCCCCAGCTCTCTTGCCCTGTAAGTCTCTATGGACTTGGTACTTGTCTGGCCAAGTTTACCTTATTCTGAGGAGATAGAGGCCAGCGGGGAGAGATGCCCAAGATGATCACTGGAGTGTGTGTGTGTGGGAAGTATGAAGGGGGTGGGACTGAGGGTTCACAGAATAAGGGGCTCCCACCAGATTCCCCAAGCAGCCCTCATGTCATGGGGCAGGCCCCTCTGAGCCCCAATATTTCTCCTTTTACTGAGCCCGTGCTCTTCCTCAGACCACAGAGCTGAGCTTCAGAAGGGAGGAAAGGAAGAAGAGAAAGAAGCCCCTTTCCTTAGGGAGGGAGGACAACAGTGAGGAAGAGGAGAAAGACAAGCTCCGCGACAGAGAAAATGAAGAGACAGAGACAGACAGTCAGCGAGACATGAGGGGCAGAGACAGAGCACTGACCTAGAGAGAGAGCCTTTCCTCCCCTGAGCTGAAACCTTTGCTGCCCTGACCAGCTGGGTTCCTCCACAGAGCATCTCAGGCCCGACTCCCCGCGGCAGCTGGGGCTGCACCCTTAAGTTTCCAGGTCTGGCTCTGGCCCCCGGGGCGCGGGGTCTCTGGCGCTCTAAATGCTCGGCTGTGCGCCCTCCAGCGGAGAACCAGCGCGGAGCCACTGAGGTTCTACAGGGCGCACGAAAGGGCGCCACCACTTTGCGTCCAAGCTGGTTCCAGAACCCCAGGGTGGTATGGTAGGGGAGCAGCTAGAGGAGGTGGTTGGAGGACTAGTGTCTCGAGCTCGTATCCCAGGACTCGTCTCTTTTCTTTTAAAGAGAGATTTTAAAGATGGCCTCGGCGCCTCGACGTTCCTTTTGCCCTAGAAGGCGAGGGCCAAAGTATCTCTGTTCAGAGTCCCCGGAAAGGGTGCGCGCCGGGGCGAGCTCGGGGTCTAGACAAGTGTCAAGGCATCTAGTTGCCAAATCTCAGAGCTCCGAGCACGTGTCCCTCCAGAGGACCCTGCCTCGCTCCTGTCCAGTCATGCGGGCCCAGGGCGCCGTGAAGAGGGGTGAGGAGCGGCGGGAGGGGGACGCAGACAACCCCCCATCTTACCGCATTGTTGAGGAAATCCGACTCGTTCAGATCCCCCAAGTCCAGGAAGCTGGATCCGGGAAACAGCCTGTCGGCCGGGAAGGGCTCCAAGACGGCGTCCATCGCGGCGGGCTCCGGGGACCCCCTTCGGCCGGGCTCCCCTCACTCCAGGGCGGCTGCGCGCCCGGGGCGAAGCCCCCGGGGAGGAGCGGGCGGAGGCGGGCGGCCCGGGCTGGGGGGCGCGGGGCGCGGGCCTCAGGGCAGCGGCGCCGGGAGGGTTGGGCTCAGGGGCCCCGGGCGCACCGCGGGCATCTAGCCGACTCCTCCTCCTCCTGCTCCTCCCGGGGCACAGCTGGCTTCCATGGGGAGCCCGGGGGTGGGGCTGAGGGCCTGGGGAGTCCCCCGAGACTGGGTGACCTCCAGGTGCTCGCGCTTCCTCTGCTTCTCGCCCTGCACTTCTGTCACTTTCCCCCACTGTGAAATCGGGAACCCCCGGCTGGTTAGCCTAGCCGGCCAGGGCGCCACGCCCCCACATCGATATTCACAATAGCTTAATATTCATGAGAAGAGGGCAGGGCTCGAGGACTCAGCCCTCTTCTTTTAAAGAGACATTCGCCATCTAGTCTCCCTTGTTAATTTCTGTTCTCTGAATGCTGCCTGTAGGGGCTTGATGCAGGCGCGCCCTGGAGCCAGCCCTGGAACCGACAGCTTTGTTCCTGGGACCTGGGCATCTTGTTTAGGCGTTGCCAACCACTGTATAAGTTGATGAGGGAACTTTTATTTCCATTCTTGCAGCCTTATGTTCAAATCTGAAACAGATACCACGTTAGGGGATTCCATATCCGTTCTCTCAACAGAGCTCCCTCAATGGGGGGATTGTCAGTGTCTTAACTCTCATTTTTCATCTCTCAGCTCAGATGTCTCCTCCTCCAGAAAGCTTTCTCTGACCTCCAGCCTAAGGCAGTTCCACTCCTATGCTACTCACTGGACACTGAGTGCTTGCCTCCATTGTGGCAAATCAAATTTGGTGCTATCATTGTTTGCTCACGTATCTGTGACCCCACTGGACTTTGAGATCCTTCAGGGCAAGGACTGTACCTAACTTCCCTGTGTACTAAAGGGCGGGATTGAACAGCAGAGATCAGAGGAGGACCCCTCCTTTCATCAACCATCAAGTCTTCCTCCCTAATGGTTCTGAGGAGTGCCTGGGTGGTGCAGTTCAATGCTTGACTACTAGCCAAAATATTGGCAATTCAAACCCACCCAGAGGTACCTCGGAAGAAAGATCTATGATCTGCTTCTGAAAGGTCACAAACTTGAAAGCCATATGGAGCAGGGCTATTCTGCACACATGGCTCACCATGAGTCGGGGTCACCATGAGTCGGGGTCACCATGAGTAGGAATCCACTGGACAGCAATTACCACCAATGGTGCTGAAGAGCAGAAAGTTGGAGAACAGCGGCCTTGGAGTCTGGATAAGCCAAGATACTGGCTGGCCTCAGGCTCCGCTGTCACCAGGACACTCCTAAGCCTCCTGGATCCATCAGCTAACTGGGCTGTTCCTGCATACAACTTAATCTCTTGAAAGGGTTGATAAACAGTCACCAGGCACCTGAGCAAATGGCTGGTGGTTCCAAAGGCACTCCCTTGGAGGCACCAGCTCCTGCCCAGAAGTCATTAATAGGATTAAGTGTGTCCTCCTGTCTAAGGCTTTTAATTAGCTCAGGAACCAAAAGGCCTTTAAGAAGTGAAGATGTCATTGTAGTTAAGCCATGGATGTCACTGAAATTGCTCTCTCAGTGCCAAGGTGGAGAAAGGCACACACTGAGACTGAGACTGACTGCTTGCTTGCCTGGGGGCAGGGGTGGAGGGCTGGGCAGACAACCACAAGGTCTTTCCCCATCTCATGACCCACCGGACACAGTTCTGGGAAGTGAAGTTCTGACCCTCCAGGTTGTTAGCTCCCAGGCCTCCTGGAGAGTTTGCTCCCAAGAAGCTGGAATTGTATAGCCTGTGCTCTCGGGACAGGTTCACCAACAATACCACCCTGAGAAGTTCAAAAACAAAAAACACCATCCCATTGCCACTGAGTTAATTCTGATGTCAACTAACAACAATTTTTACAAAAGCAGATCTCTAGGCCTTTCTTCCACGGGCCTCTGGATGTGTTTGAACAACCAAATTTCTAGTTTAGCAGTTGAGGGCAATCTGTATGTGGCACCCAGTAACCTGAGAAATTAGGCCAGCCTCCCCAGAACCAGTTCATTCTCACAACAGTGGTAGGTAGAATCAGGACGCTGAGATTATGGATGTCCCCAAATGTGTCTCACATGTGGCCCGATGGGGAACATTCAATGCGGCTGATCCTTCCCAGGGTAGTGGGGATCAGTCTCTGGCTAGACGGACAAGCCAGTCTGTCTCGGGTGAGCTTGTGGCGCGGGTATCTGGAGTCCTGGCTCCCGAGCTGGAGGCCCTGCAGGCCCCCACGAGCAACAAAAGTGTCCCTCTGCCTGAGGTTGGCTGGAAATTGTGCCTGTGTTCCTCCCAGCCTGCTCTGTAATTAGAGACACAGGCACCATTTAAGTGATTGGGAAAGATTATATAGTTTTAGACAAATGGGATTAGAGTGTCCTCTCTTTCCTGATTCTTACCCAGGTGAACACTCCAGGAAACCATTGAAAATAATCCTGGGGAGACATTCTGGTTCCGGCACCTCCTGTGCAGTCTGATAGGCAGGGTCCCAAGAGGAGTCCAGAGGAGGGGGGGAGGAAGAGGGACGAGGGAGAGCGAGGAGGGAGAGCGAGAGGGAGAGAGGAGTGCAGGGCCTGGCATGTGTAGGAACATGGGCCTTTTTTTCTGGAATGAAGGGGATGGCAAAGCTCAGCAGAGCTGAGGACGGCGGAGCATGTATTCACACATGCAACAAGTATTACTGCGCACCTGTTACAAATGGTCCCTGGACCCGACATGGTCATGATTAAGAACGTACCCTTCAGAGTGTATGTGGGGGTGCAGGCAACGGCTCAGGGGAGGAAAGTATGGGTAGATTGTTTTAAAACGATAATTTTGGAGAGTGATAAGGACTCTGAAGGAAATAAAACAGTGTGACGTGACTGTGGGTAGGGAAGACTTCTCTGAAGAGGTGAACTGAATTCATGTGTGGGGCAAAATGGAGGGAAAAGTATTCCAGGCAGAGGGAACAGTAAATAGAGGAGAAGGAGAGAGAACGGTCTGGCTGGGAGGGGCAGGCAGGGACATGGAAACCAGAAGATAACGTGAAGCCCCAAGGCCCTGCACACACCTGAAGGTTACACACTGAGGCATGAGGTTCCGTTCTACAGGAGGACTGAGAACTGGGCCAGTTCAAATGAGAGGGACCATAGGTGTGGTCAGCACCTGAATCGTCTCTTGAAGAATTTCCAGGAGAGGAAATTGGATGGCTTGGCCCATGGCATCTGGAGTCTGGGTTCTGATCTAGCTGGGGGTCTGCTCCCCTTCCTGCCAACCTCTGGGCCTGGTCCCACAACCCAACTCTACCTCAATCCCCTTCTCTAGATATGAAAAGATGGGGTCTGCAGAAAGAGGCCAAAGTTGGTTCTGTAAACACCACCCCACACCTCCAAATACTCCCGATGGAGAAAAAAGCCCAGAGCACAGCCCCTCTGGCTCAGGAAGCCCTGGTCACTGCTCTTCAGCAGCTGCTCCAGCTGTGAGGAGAGGCTTCATCCATAAAGACTTCCCAGCCCAGTCAGTGACGCAGGAGTGAAAGGACAGAGATAAGCTTCCTGTCTGTCCCAGGCATTGGAGGTCAGGGAGAGAGAGACAGACAGAGAGCCAGCGAGCTACCAGGCTGAGCTGTGTGAGCAGGGATATGTACATGTGGAGAAAGGCTTGGCAGGGGACTGTCACACTTTGACACCCCTGGAGTGTCATTGCCCTTCTCTGGGTCTCAGTTTCTACATCGATAAAATGGGGGGAGATGTTCATTCATGACCCTTAGGGTCCTGTCCTCTCCAAGGATCTTCCCATGTGCCCAGACTCGGACAGGGTGTCACAGGGGGCAGAGTGGGCTCTTCCTCCTCAGGAGGTCTGGTGCTCAGTTTTCCAGGCTTATGCCCAGAGCCTTGAGGAAGGTGAAGGTGGGGTGTTTACACTCGGCAGGCAGGCCCTGGGTGGTGGTGAGAAGGTCACCCAAAGTAAACTTGCTTTGTTTGCCCGATCGTAAAGGGAAAAACGCTTTGGCACGCTCTAACAGGAACTTCTGAGAAATGAAAACATATCCATCCTGGAGATTAGGCTGACTTCCGGGGTGCAGACGGGGCCCTTTGTTCTCTTGTGGCTCCCAAAAATGGGTGGTTCTCCCTGTGCCCCCTGCTAGGGTGGCACCCTGCCAGGGGCATGGGGGTGGGCATCAGGCCCCAGGCTTCTCTTCATCCCCCTGCCTGTGGTCACTTCCTTGCCCCACCCTGAATCATAAAAATAGCTGAGATTTATTGAGCACTTGTTTTGTGCCAGGCACTAAATACTTCACTTATATTATCTGGTTTAATTCTTAGAACAAGCTCGTGAGATGAGTATTGGATTTCACTGAGTCTAAGATGCACATTTCTTTTCACATTTCAACATCTCTGAAACCAGAATGTATCTTCTAATCGATGGAGTGTCAGAGTGTAATTGGCAGTGTTTTTTCTTTCTCACAATATATAAACTAATGTGTACTATATGACTGATAAGGAGCTCTGGTGGTGCAGTGTTTAAAGCATTCAACTGCTAATCAAAAGGTCAGCGGTTCGAATCCACCAGCTGCTCTGTGGGAGAAAGGTGAGGCAGTCTGCTTCTGTAAAGATTTTCAGCCTTGGAACCCCTATGGGGCAGCTCTACTCTGTCCTACAGTGTCCTATAGGGTTGCTATGAGCTGGAATCCACTTGATGGCAGTGGAGTTGGTTTTGATGATGAAGCCCTAGTGGCATAGTGGTTAAGTGCTCGCTGCTAATGGAAAGGTTGGTGGTTGGAACTCACCAGTTGCTCCTTTGGAAAAAAGACCTGGTAATCTGCCCCCACAGCCTAGGAAACCTTATGGGACAGTTCTACCCTGTCCTATGGGGTCATTGTGAGAGTTCACTTGACAGCACACAACAACATGACTGACGACATCTGAGATTCAATGAAATATACAGATCCCCATTCTACGGATGAG